AAAGGTGATGGTGGTCTTGGAGCTGGTCGTGGATAATCATAACCTGGCGTTTTGGGTGGTGAGGGAGGTCTTGATGGGAAAGGTGGGACAGGAGCTGGAGTTTTGCGGTGGCTGTGGTTGTGGAAAAGGTGATGATGGTTCTGGATAATCGTAACCTGGCGTTTTGGGTGATGAGGCAGGTCTTGGTGGGAAAGGTGGGGCAGGAGTTTGAGTTTTCGGTGGCTGTGGTTGTGGAAAAGGTGATGGTGATCCTGGAGGTGGTCGTGGATAATCATAGCCTGGTATTTTGGATTGCGACGGTGGGAATGATGTTGGAGGTGGTTGTGGGTAATCATAAGTTGGCGTTTTGGATGGCGGTGTTACTTTTGGTCCTGGCGGGAATGTTTGTGGATAAATGTCGTAATCATTTGGTTTGTACGATGGGACTGTTGGTCTTTGCGAAAAAGTAGAAGGTCTTGGCTTTTCTGATGGGAAAAATGATGATGGCGCTGGTGTTCTTGGTGTTGTAAATGACCCGCTTGGTCTTTCATAAGACGGTTGAGTTTGAGATGGCAGCTTAAATTGACTATCAGGTCTTGGATAAGTATATCCTGTTGAAACCTCTATTGGTGGCTTTGTTTGGATTGTTCTGAAAAAAGATATTATATCTAAAAGTAATGATAATTATAATATTGATATCTTTCAGTTGTTTTAATATAATGATGTAAATTATGTCACTATTTTTATAGAATATTTAATTCTGATTAAACTCTTACGGTGGCGATAAAGTCGGCCTTGTTTGAGTTGTATATGTATAACCTGGTGTACGTATTGTTGCGGGAGTAGAATAAGTAAATGATGTTGTATGTTGGTCAGGTCCTGGTGGATATGTGGATCTCCCATCATGCGTTTGATAAGTAATTCTTGACGGTATAGTTACCGGTGGTATCGTTGTTCTGTACAAGAAACATATTTATTAGTAACCATAGAAATATATTATAATTTAAAGTTTATATGAAAAATAATAATAAAAATATTTTATACAACATTTTATATGCAATTTTTGTTTAACTCGTACTGTGATGTATAAGAATAAGATGATGTTCGCGGCATTGTTAATCTGGTTCGTGTTGAATACATATATATAGATGTCGGTCATGTAGAGCGTTGAGTGATTGTTAAGAGTGATTGTATAAGATGTTCTATGTGATGGAAACATAAAATCTCCGTTGAGTATTGGATAAGTATATGCGAATGTCTTTACTGGTGATTTTGGATTTGTAGTTGGTCTGATGGAGAATGTGTACAATACATATATATATATATTATGTTTGACAATTGTAGTCAACATGTATATATTTACTTGTCTGGATGATAACATAAATGATTGTATAATGTTTTAGATATAATTTCTTGATCAATTCTTACCGCGGTGGTAAAGTGAATTTCTCATGTGGTGTCTCATAAATATAACCTCCATTGCTCGCTATCGCTCTTTTGCTCTTCTCACTCGATGCTTGCGCATGGTGTGTGGAGAGCACTGCCACTATTGTGGCAATCAACAAGATTCGCTGGATAAAATACAAATTATCGTTACATTTCGTTCGAACAAAACATCTTTTATCTATACACGATATTCTAATTTTTAAATACTCTATTATACGATAATAACCTAGATTATTGAATGGACTTGAAATATATCAGGTCAGGGATCATCGCGTAATTGATTATAACATATCGAAAAGCGACTTCGTGGGATTATCTCACGCTTCACCTAAGAACTTACATAACCTGTCTCGATTACGATACATTATCTATGAGACATCAGTGATCGTGAAAGGTTTATCCGTGCGAAGTGCATCATATGATACTTTCATTGATCATTAGGTATGAAACTTCATCAAACTTCGATGAAAAAAGTTAAAAGTTAACATTTTCCTTTTTACGCCAATGGAAATATCTTTGTCGTTTCGATACATTAATACAAAAAGTGTCTATCTATTTCAAGATTTTATATTATTATTTGTCTATCATATCGAAATGTCGAAATCGTGTCCAATAGGATAATTATCGGTCGAACGAGTGTCGTAAATCAACCGATTGGAAGTCACATTGGCCAGAAATTAAAACCGTCTTATCCGTTTGCGACATCGTAAACGCGAATGATAGTTCTGGCTCGAAGAAACGTCCAGTGACCTTTAGACGTATAATTTATATAGAAGGATCGCAAAGAAGAGAATCTTCTCTTGGTGTCTTTCGCCAACATGTGAAAGGATCCTCACGTATATATAACCGATGTCACGTTCGTTCGAATTGCGGAACAAACGATACAGATCTCAAGGTTACTGCGATCTTCGAAAAAATTCTTAAATTTCACACTTTTGTTTAGGATATTTAGCTTATATTGCTTTAATTAACCAATTATGGAGTTTCTTGGAAAGAGAAGAGATTTCATTCATCGTCCTTGAAATTTGAATTTTAATTTATGCGAACGAATAATTTTACCGTGGATATTTAATTAATATTTGAATTAAGGGGGATCGATTTTTTTTTATGTTTATGGAATGGATTTGCATAGATTCGCCGGCCATTATATCATTGAAAACGAGTTATATTTTTTTAAATTAAGATCATTGCCAATTGCGAAATTATGGCTTCTCGACGAATATAAATATCTTCTTCGAAGGTATTCGTGAAATTCGAGGAAATTCCGTGTATAATGGGTGTTATGTAAAAAGAAGAATATGTAAAAATATAGGAAGTCTGATAATGCATATCAAGTCGTTAACAAACTAGACGAGAAGATAATTTCGTTTTATTTATTAACGCTTGATGTCCTACCAATTACCGTTCTGATTTATTATGTTGCATTAATTCACATTACGCAATATCCATTACACGGAGAGCAATTATGTTTTGTTGACAAGATATATCCTATGATTAATACCATCAAGTTTCATGATGTATTTATGCGAGTAGTGCAAACAATTAGGCACATCTTAGCGGTCTCACCATTTTTATTTGCACCTAGAGAAAGTTGCAAATTATATGTTCAAAAGAGAGGTCTTCGGGTCTAATGAGAAACCAATATGACAAGAGTTTTCTATGGGTCGGCTGTTCGCACGTTTCGAGGTGCAAAATTATGTCGCAACTGCTAAAAACTAGTTACAATTGCTGTTTGGCTCGCCATCTTATATTAACGATGTGATTCAGCCTAATTTCCAAGTCAGCCCTGTCTTTAAAAATATTTACTGTATTATCTGAACCCCAGAAAAGATTCGTGGCGCAAAGAAGAATTATTTTTTCTCCGAGTCTTTGAAATATTTAATCGATGCTCTAACATAGAATTTAATTGAATAATTTTCAAAAAATTCTAGAATTCACACTCGAGCCAATTATTCCAAATATTTAAATGTTTTTGTATGCATATATAATAAGAGTCGATACGATGTTTCATTCGAGAATCGCAGTTTCAATTTTCCGCGATCAATATTCGTTTCCTTGGATTGAGATCCATCTATTAACCCGTTTGAATCGCTCTCACGAGCCTCGTTCAATGGATGAACAGCCGCATCACGCGTGATAGGTGCAAAAATGACGTCTTGCATAATGGAGAAGGTTGCATCTTTGGTACTAATAAAGTCCAATGTGTTCAGCAATATGGCTTTCTAATTATTCTGCCTCGTGCGCTGCTAATGCGAATGCTTATTAAACGAAGAAAGAAACACCGAAGGCGCGCATCCATCAGTTTCATTGTCGTAACAACGAAAATAGCAATGGGTAAGAAGAAAATTATTTTCGCTGGAATAAAAAAGAGATACTTAACCGATTCTCGAGCGAAACAGGCATAAATTAATTCTAATCGACACGCAATAAGTGTCAAGTGGGCAAATCCCATTCCGATCTTGCGTGATGCGTTTAATTATTCACTGCCATTGGATGAATTTAGAATGAATAATTATATTACACCTTAATTTTCTTTTTTTAAATATTCACGTTTGCAATTGTATCAAATCATTACAATAGAGTCTTTTAATAGAAAGTGACTGTTAAACTGTGTGATCCAGCAGAGAAGAATTTATCATGCTGTAAGATCTTTCAAAGAGCTTTCTTGATTCTTGATATTGCAACCCCTGATCTTTTCATGAAAAATAAAATTAACAAGCGTGTATAAAAGTAAAAAGTTTTGAGAAAATATTGTTTCAAGTTGTATTCGTGTGTGCGTGTCATTTTACACGAAAGAAACGTAATAGCAATCAAGTTCTCTTATTATTGGTTGTAATCGTACAATTATACGATGCCAATGCTCATTATCTAAGTGCCTCGTTGAACAAACAAACGAGAATAAAGTGAATGATAAATATTATAGAAACCGATAATTATATTCCCTCAATCTTTTCTCAAATTCACCATTATATAGGATATATAGAACATTTCTATCTCTTTCTTTGACACGTTTTTATACACGTGTTCTTTGTTCTTTGAAATTTTCTTCATATTTGAAGATTAAATCTAAGATTTAATGTTATTTTATTATATTATTAAATTAAAATTTTAATAATCCTTTTGATATTTGATAATTTATTTTTCTAAAGAAAAAAAAAAGAAGAGAAAAGAAATAATAAATTTAAAAATATCTTATGCAAAGCATTCCCAGTGAATACTTTCGACTATTTTTTTCCTAGCATTCCTGGAAAAGATATGTGATATTAAATTTGACTTTCAGATAAAGGAATTCCCAGAAGGACTGCAGAATAGTCTTAAAAAAAAAAAAATAAGAGAGAAGAAGCGATGAAATCTCGCGCAAAATATTTCAAAGATTCTGAATTTATCAGTTTCCTTTTTTACTTTTATGAATAAGATACCAATTTTTTCTTCTTCTTCTTTTTTTTTTTGTAAATTTATTGCCTTCCCTTTTCCTTTCATGAACGAGTCATCAAATTCCTATTCTTCTCTATACATTTCTACGAATAAATCACATCTAAAATAATATCAAACTTCAATTCACAATGTAATAAATATTCTTCGACCATTTACACATTCTTCGCTCTTCTCAAAAAAAAAAAAAAAAAACAAATGAGAGAATAATAAACTGTGGTTTTTCTCAGATATTCGTGCAACGAATCTCTCACGGCTGGCGCCGATGAATTGAACAGACCAGCGTCACACGATGCGCGAGAAGATTACTGGAGAAAGTTCTTCTTATGCTACGAATTCCCCAACATATTCTTCACCCGCGCAATAACTCGAGTATCGAAACGTTCAATTCGGGAGGGAAAAAATCGATGGAGAAGATTTACGTAAGAAAAATCGGCTCTGTTCGATTAAGAAGCGGGCAGGAAATCGTGGAGACTCGTCGCGATAGCGTTTAAACGAGGATGCAAATAAGGCTGAATGTTTTGCCATACGATCCAGCCGAGGAAAATATTTATGGATAAAAATATTTTCTTCGCGCACCGCGGGACAATGCATCTTTTTCCTCGTAGAAACTCGAATTTATCTACCTTTTGAAATACTTTCTTTACAAACGTTTATGAAACGCAATTTTCCCTCCCCGATGTTTCACTTGCATCATTTCTTCCGTAAACAGATTCACTTTGTTGAATTCTGCTTTTTTTTTTTTCTCCTACATCGTGATTGCGAAAAGAAGTTCGTATCTTCGAAGAAGATTTCAAGAATACGTTTGATCATTCCTGTTATAGATCGTGTAGAATTTGGAATAAATTATTGTTGATATCTAATCACGAATCATTAGAATTAGATCACGGATTATTACACACATTGTTCACGAATTCATGCGAAGATATTGGACACGCATCCGTGTTTAACGAGAGTGTTCATCACGGACGACATCCTCGTCCTGGGTAAAGTTCAGTGACGCAACAAGAGGAATCGGAATACGTTTATAACCGGCACGAATCCAATCCTGGCAGATCACGAGTTACCGAACCGCATCGAGCTACCAGCTGAATCCTTTTCGGGAAAAGGTTGAAGGTCACGAGGAAAGAGCGTATTATAACCATTACGTAAACGAACTTATAACTTATCGGCCTGCGAAGTCTTGGACCGTAAATAAGAGACGAGGAGTGATCGTGGAGAAACGAGGCGAGGGA